AATTAAAAACTCCAAGGGGATCAAATTTCAGCAGTATAAGGAAGATGTTCCTAGCAGAAAAAATTGGGCAGAGTGCAGCAGGGTAAAGGGCGTATGTGGTGTGTGGGTCTCCCAGGCCAAGCCAAGAAGGCTGTTCTGGGTTTTTGTTGTTGTTGCTTAAGGCAGCAAGGTCAGTGCCACCTCCAGAGGAATGTTTTGGAAAGATCTATCTGGCAGTGTCAGGCAAAAGAGGAGACAAAGGCAGGAAGGTATTTAGCTGGCCAGGGCAAAGCAGGTGGAGGGTGGGGGGCGCATGACCCAGGACCCACATGGGACCAGTCAGAGACTTTGAAGCACTCCCCAGCCTCCATCCAGGCAGCAGACTCTTTCAAAATTAGTAGTTGCAAGGTGTGGTGGCACACGCCTTTAATCCTAGCACTCAGGAGGCAGAGGCAGGATCTCTGTGAGAGCAAGGATAGCCTGGTCTACAAAGCAAGTTCCAGGACAGTGAGAACTATAAAGAGGGATCCTGTCTCAAAAAACACTAAAATAAATTAGATGCAGGGTCAGTGAGTCTTCCAGAAAGGCACTGCCCAGTCCTTCAAGACACTCCACCCCAGACGGCTCGTACTAAAGACCTTGCTGCTGCGTTTGAGTCCCAGGACCTCTGACCTCCGCATGCCTGCTTGTGGCATACCCCCAAACACATATGTACTAAAGAACTGCAATAAGATACCCCATCCACAAGGAGTGACCTGACTCATCATGCTCTAACATGTAACACTGAGTCAGGTTCCGATAGACTGTGAGCTTCCCAGCAGCCAGGGCTGGTTTTTATCTGTAAACCCCAGAAGGGCTTTTACCAACTCTTAGGGAGCTCCTGAAGACACTTCTGTCAGACTTTCTTGTCCTGGAAAGTCCTTGGAGCCTTGGCCAGCACCCCAATGACCTCACAGTTTCTGAGGTCTCCTCTAGCCTCAAATTTCATCTACGAGTTCCAAAATCTTTGGGCCAAACTTTATGGAAAAAAAGGGGGGGCTATTCACATAAGAACAGGAGACCCAGGGAAGGCAGGGCAGCCATCAAAACCTGATGGACATAAGAAACAGGACTCAAATCTCTACCTGAATCTACTACTAGATACCAGACCAAAGAAACGCTAAAAGATAGCAGTATTTTTAGAAAGAGCCACGAGGGTTTCTATTCTGTTCTGCCAGGAGGGGGCAGAAAGAAGAAGCACTCTGAGTGGATCATAATGACTTGGTGGTCCCACCTGAGGGAAAACCTAACACTACCACCCCCACCCCTGCTAGGGGGTAGAACTTAAAAGAGGGAGTCCTATGTGGTATAAATCACACTTCCAGGACAATGGTCTATATGACTCACACTTCGGTCACCTGCCTAAAAATACGTCCCTCCACTCTGCATCTTCAGCCCCTGGTGCTCAGCTTTTTGCATTCAGAGTGTAAGGATCAAGGAAGTTTAGGACTGTCCACCCTTCCAACCCTCCTTGTAAATCGAGCTGTGTCCAGAAGTATCAATTAGTTTATTAGATCACATTCTAAAATGACAGTCGTTTTTATTTGGGATAGGAAGGAGAAGAAAGGGTCATTTTGGAAACTCTCCCTCTTGGGGTAGCCTAGACCCTGATCCTCAGGACAGAGCAGGACAGGGGTGCTGGGGAAGGTAGATTACAGATGTGTCTTCCTCTCCCCTACCAGTTTTTCTAAGGCTGAGCCAGTTTTTAATAACAGCAATAGCCGGATGGTGGTGGTGCACACCTTTAATCCCAGCACTTGGGAAGCAGAGGCAGGTAGATCTTTGTGAGTTCGAGCCCAGCCTGGTCTACAGAGTAGTTCCAGGACAGCCAGGACGACACAGAGAAACCCTGTCTCAAACACACACACACAAATAGCAGTAAATGCTCTGACTGGGGAGGAGATGCAGAGAAAGAAGGGGAGTCAAACCCAAAAGTGTTTCTCTCGAGACAATTTGATAGACTAAACATATCAATTAGAGGGTGTTCTTATACAATGAGAAAAAATAAGGCTGCTGAATGAAGTGATCCACACACAGTGGGCTGCCGGGGACCTGCACTCCCAGAAAATGGCCCAAACACAAACTGACAGTTGTAAAAAAAAAACGAAAACAAAACACCCTACCATGCAAAGTCCCCTCAGGCAGGCTGACCTTCCCTAACTCAAAGTCAGCTGCGACCAGTGGCCTGAGATTCAATGTCTTGCAGAGGGCTGCTTCCGGGATCCCGGGACCACCCGCCCCTGCAATACACTCTATCACCTTCCTGGGGACTTAGTCACTCAGGGCCTCAACTCCCAGGTGCTGGCTGAGAAAGAGGGAACTCAGTGGACGAACTCCTGGTCGCGGAGTTCTCTAGGACCTAAGAGGGGACGGGGAAGGCTGTTTTCAATCCCAGGTGAGGAGGAATGGAGGCGCGACAGGAATGAGGAAGGAGGCTGACAGGGGCTGGGGAGGAGGCGAGGGGCAGATCCGGGAGGAATGGGCTGGTGACAAGGGAGCGTCTGGGGAGAGCAGAGTTAGAAAGCTTAGCAGTAGCTCTGGGGCGCAGGAAACGTAACGAGAGAGCAGGATCAGAGGAGCGGGGCGCAAGGGAGCATAACAGGAAGCAGCGCGGAGGCAGGATCAAGGGAGCCGTGCTCAGAACCCGGGGAGCGTGGCTCAGGATCACAAGAGCCGAGAGCATCGGATCACGAGAGCGGGGAGCAAGATCGACGGAGCCGGCCGGTCGGTCTGGAGAGAATCCCGGAGCTAGGTGCTCCTGGGCGGCCGGGACCATAGAGACACGACCCGGAGACAGAGGCCCGGAAGCAGCGTCGGGGCCCGGGGAGGGGCCCTGCCCAAGGAGCCCGCAGCCCCCCGCCCCCTGGCCCGCGCC